TCTCATGTGGGCTTCTGTTGACATTCCCTCTTCCTTGACTCAGGTGTCTTTCACCCCTCCTTATAAGTGGTTTGAGGGTTCCTCTGCTTTGCCACTTGCATCCTCCTCCAGTGCCGACATGGTGGCCACTGCTGTGGGTCTTGCAGGAGTCGCAGAGCCCACCAGTCCCTTCCTTTGGGGCAATGGGCTCAAGAAGGCCCTATTCCTCCTGGGTGGCAGTGACCCTGATGCCTGGGCTGTTGGGGACTCGGGTGCGCACCCAGGCAGGGTCCCATGGTGGGCAGTCTTGGGGAGGGGACAGCCACTGCTTCAACCTCTGCCTGGAAGGACCTGGAGGGGTGCTGCCTCGGGTACCACGCAGCCTCATTAGCGCCAAATGACTGCACATCCTTGGAAGGTTGGGCTGTAGGTACAAGTCTTGTGCTGTCTAGCAAATAACATCTAAAAACAGGAGGAGGAAGATAATTCTTATTGGTAAGTAAGACTTCAACTTTTTTTCCCCATAAACAAGCTTCAGTTATCCAGAAAAACCTGAGGTATTTGTATCACTTAGCCTATCAGCTGAATTTAAGCGTAAAAAGATATTCAGGGGGAAAATATTTTCTTTACTCTGTCAGTTTGGATTCAGCACAGCAAAAAATAATAACATTATAAAAGACATTTTGAGAGTTGTGTTTGCAAATAGATAAACCAGAAACAAACATGAGCAGCTTTAGGGATGACTCAACATGCAGCTCAGCAGCAGGCATACTAAGAATCCTTAGAGTGGGCTTCCTTCAAATAATAGATTTAGTGCATTTGCGTAAGTTCTGTTTGAAGTGTAGAGGCATTAAATAGCAATTCCGAATGAGGACAGATTTTTTTCCACATTAAAAAAAATAAATCATTGCAGTAGCAGAAATTTCAGAGGTTTCTTCTTTAAAAGGAGGTTATTTTATTTTTTCATTATTTTTACTCAGGAATAGGAGATTTAAAGAGATGCTTGTTTTTTATGGCATGAAATGCTTTTCATGTATTGCTCTGGACTGTAAATTCTCTGAAGGCTCCTCTCATGTTTATTCTTACATAAATGGAAGTGTAGCTGAGATTTATTCATCTGAAGGTCGTGGATGAAGCACCCTGTGCCTTAAAAAGGAAGCTGAATTATACAGGAGATCAGGAACTGAACTTTCCTTTTGTTCTTGTAAGCGTTTGGAGAGAGGGAAATGGTATGTGCAGACTTGGGCATGTGTTAATATCTTGATTATAGAGATTGATTTTGTAAAGGTAACTCTAATGGGGTATTTTTTAGATAATCACGCAGTAGGTAAGAACACATTCTGCTTGTTGCAACGGAGTAGGAATAGGTGAGTGCCACAACTGGATAGACTTTGACAGCAGCAGTTCAGGTCCTGTTGACGATCAGTCCAAAGGAGGCTTCCAGCCTTTCTGCTCTTTGCAGTAAGAGGACAAGGGCTGAGGGAGCGCTTGGGACTCCCATGCAGGGCAGCTGTGGAAATAAAACCTTTCTTGAAAGTGACGGACCTCAGTGCTATCCATTTTCTAGGTAATTGTGTGATTCTAGTTATAGTTTGGGTCTCAGATTCTGTTTTGGTTTTTTGGTTTTTTTTGAGTAGAAGTTGAGATCTGATTAGCAGACATGGTTGAACCTTTGATAAGTCACTGATGATTACCATCTTTGCCTGTAAATGATTCTCTTTCTCTTCTTATACCAAGTAGAGATCCTCATCTCTAGTTGTTATGTTAAAACGGGTGAAGAAGTTTTTCTTAACAAGTTTACATTTCTTTGCTCTGTAAAGGAAGGGTTTTGTAATGAAATAATTACTGAATTAAGCAGTGCTTCCATGTACTATGTTTTTTGCTTGATCTGTTCTGTCTTCTGTAGTTTTTCATTTTTCTGGCATGGTGCTGATAATAAACTGGGGAATCAAAGATTTTGTAATCACTTGGCACTACTTAAAATGGTATGTTTCTCTCTTCTAAGTTGTTATGGGGTGTAATCTGTTGAAGGTATTTAATTTTGTAATTAACATCTCTTTGCTCTGTCTCACTCTTGGCTCAGTGGGTTGAGGTGTATGAGCAGATGTGTGCATCTGTGCATCACGCTGCTGAATGCTCTATAAGGATAAGTTTGCTTGTTTCCCCTTAAAAGAGGGAGTTAACTGATTTTGTAACATACCTCAGTACTGATACTACATAGTCTGGGAAAAAAAAAGTGATGTGCAACTGCGCAGAGAGCTCTGCAGGCACATGCTCACTGCAAGCAGACTTGGACCTCCATGCCAAGCCTTGTGTCTTTCAGTTGAGGGGTCTCTCTTCCTAGCTCTGGCTCTGAGAGAGGAGGGGGGAAGGAGGGATATGGGTGGGCAGTAGAAGGGTTGGAACAGGTGTATCCCGAGGTCTGTCTCCCTCTTTGAAGCAGGGGATACCTGCTATTCGGGATCTAGGAACAGAATATTGTGTGATGCCCTCTTTATGGGCATCACACCTGCCCACTTTATGGTAACAATACTATGGAGGAGTATCAAACCTGCCCACTTTATGGTAACAATACTATGGTTCTGCTTTCGGTACCAGAAGGACTGTGGAGAGGAATGTCCTCGAAAGGAGTCATACAGTCAGCTTTTAATTTTGGAAGACAGTGCTACGTTCCTGATGACTCGTTACAGGGAGGGAGGAAAAAAGTAAAAAGGTTGAATGTGCCATCAGACATGCTGGAATACTGGATCGTGCTTCAGCGCTGCATACAGTGCTGGCTGCTGGTTCCCAAACTCATCCCTTAGATTTTGCGTTTCATCAGCTAATGCGTTTTTTAAGGTGGCAACCTCTAAAAGAGTTCCGAGGTTGCTAAATGTGGAGCTAATCCTTTAGAGACTCTTCTTGAGTTACTTGTGAAAGAAGGAAAGAAGCAGATGTTGCAGATGTCTCTTACTCATCTTTTTTTCTGGCCTCCCCGCCGCCGTGTGTCTCTCTTGCTGACTTTGTGTGGGTGTAAAAGCTTGAAGTTTGGCCGTAGCAGGAAGCTGATAATGTGGCATGAAAAGAAAATACGGTGTACCTCTTGCAGTGTAAGATAAATACTGCTATCAGCTCCTACTTCAGCACTGTTCAAACCTCTGTTCATCCAAATTTCTGCTTGGAGCTGTCTTAGAAGTCCCAGGGCTTTATGGTCTGGCATGGGAGAAGAGTTGGTCCTCCCTGTGGCCGCGGTGATGCTCGAGGTCATTCTTCAAAGAAATGTGAGCCCCAGCAGCCGGTCGCAGCACCCACGGGCTGTCGCTGTCTCCTGAGCAACAGGATGAATTGCGCCTGTATCCCAGGGAATGCATTAGGTTTAAATATCCGTGGGTTTAATTTACTCCCCCCACCAGTACGTTATTAATTTAATTGCTCTTCAGTTTCTGAAGAATCTTGGAGGGGGCAGAGAGGGGGCGGAAAGATCTATTTTAAACTGCCCTCTTTAATTCATGTCTCATTCGTGATGTATTTTTACCAGCGGCACTTCGTGATCCAGCTGCCACTTCTAAATGTCATTTACTTGAATAAAAAATGTAATTACATTTCTAAGTGTGACATAAGCACTGAAAGTAGTAACTGAATCACAAAGTACTGTTTGAACACCAGCTTTCCCATGACAGGAGGGAAGGTTTATGAAGTCCAGGGTATGTTGTAATTCAAGTGTAGCAAAAATACCCAAAATCACTTGTTTAGTGATTCTGGCTTTTTGTTAGGGAAATACCTACTTACATATCTCCCATACTAATTACAAATGGGGGAACAATATTCAGTTATTTCATGTTCTCTGACATTTATTTGTGTTTTTGATTGAAATCAGTAAACCAACGTTTCCCAGTGCTCCTTGAAGAATATCTGCTCCTGTGCCTTGGAAGGGGGTTTGTCGGACTCCAGTAGGATTTTGGCATATTTAATACCATCAAAAGCTTTTTCAAAAGTTTGTTTGACTCAACTTACAAGCTCATGTTGATGCAAACTTCTCATCCTTTTGCCAGTAAAAGAGGTAAAGGAAGAAATTTTGCATTCACATGTATTCCTGGTATTCAATAAAGCAAAGTATGTAATTAGAAGAGACGGACCAGCACTCACTTTTTATAGTCCCAGTTTCTTCAAAATCAAAAGAGGGACCGTACAGTCATTTTAAGTAATGAAATTGAAGTCTGCTGGATCTTCCTTTTGATGCTGTATGTTTAAGTTGTTAATGAATTCTTTGTGAATCATCATTGGCTTTCATACAACAGTGTGACAATATTAATCCAGAACAACCACTGATACATGGACTGAACCACGTTTTTAAGCCTTCAGGTTCTATTCTAGTTAGCAGAAGGTTCAGTTACTTACAGTCTGCTGCGTTTTTTCCATCGCTGATGCCTTTATCTTAAAGAAAGAAGAGAGAAAAATTGTGATGGCTTGATTATCATCTGTTACTAATTCTCAGTAGTTGTTTTCTAGGTAGCAATTTGGGTGCTTATTAAGAATGTGCCTGTTGGTGTCCATCAGCAGTAAGAGTGTGTGTGTGCACGCTGTACGTTCAAGTGTCCCAGTGTTTCCATGAGCTACGCCACTTTCAGACCTTACAGCTGATGTTTTGCTGTCTGTTACTTGGCATCAGTAATAAATGCTTCCTGCAGCTTCAGATTTTTGGTCTTTTTGGTTGCACGTGAATGTGTGCCTTGCTTTTTCCTACTCACGTGTGCAGGCATAACTCCTGCTTATGGGCTGGCCATGAAAACAAATGACAGATGCTCTCTTTTACCTCTCTCCTCTTCAGAGAGGAGAAAAAAATGAGAAAGACTTATGAGTTAAAAAGAAAATAAACTGCTTTGAGGCAATATTAATAATAAATTGTTAATAAGAGAAAAATACGTAATAATAAATTATTAATAAGAGAAAAATAGTAAGAAAATAATGAGAAATATATCTTGAAATACGTATTTTGAAATATATACCTATAAAGGAAACATATATATAATAAGGAAACATATTTATAATAATGAAATGCAACATATACAAAACTGTATCAAGCTCCCAGGATGACAGTCACGTCACTGGCAGCCACTGGGAAAGTCCCAGACTGGACTGGGTTCCAGATCTGGATTCAGGAACGCACAGATTGGAATCAAAGGCAGGTGACCAGACAAAGTCCTTCTTGGACGCTGGCCACTGAAGAAAGAGGGATGACCCTTTGATCCCTCAGCTTTTATACCGAGCATGGGACAGATGGGATGGAATATCCTGTTGGTCAGGTTTGGGTCACCTGTCCTGCCTGCCAATCCCCACAGGTGCAACCCATCCATGTTCTTCCACTTCCAACCCTCCAACGGGTAAATAACAAAGTTAGCTCGCCTTGATTACTATAGCAAGAAGTATAAGCAAGAGCCTCTCTGCATACCATTCCTGGGTATTCACTATAAATATCAGACATTATCTGTGCTAGAAGGGGAGATGGTCTGAAAAATATGCTGTTAATTTCAGAGAGTTAGAAGAGGCTTAATTGAAAAATAAAATTACTGAAAAGAACCTTGGTTCTGTTTTACCTCAAACCAGGACATTCCCAGTCGTGCCAGGAACACACACGCTAGTGCAGCACATGAGTAGAAGCCGACAGAAGGTCTGGCCATCATTTTGTGTGAAAAGTGTTTACAGCAGTACGAGTTTTGTGTAAATGGGAACTAGCACCCCAAAAGCTTTTCCAATTACCTCTTTTTAAAGTTTATTAATGCCTTTTCCTTTTCAGCTCTTAACCTGCCTTGTGTTCATGGGAGAGACGTGGTCTGGGTCTTGCTTCCGGACAGCTTGCATATGACATCCTGTAATAAAACTTCTTCAAACAACATAATATTGGAAAAGGCCAAATATCAGCACTGCTCTGTATATATGCAACAGTGCTTATAAAAATGTATGTGTAACTGTTTATCTTGTTGCCAAGGTGGGGATTCATACGTAACTCTATGACTAGATAGGTGTCCACAGTGCATAGGCTTAACTTCCTTGGAAAACTTAAGCCCCTCTTAAATTTCCTGTTAAAGCCAGGAGGGACAGAAGTTCAACTGCCATAAAACTACACTCAATGAGTAATTCCCTTTGTTTGGAGAAGGATCTTTTCAGCCTTCTCTGGGGATGCCTTTATAAAAAGTTGAGTTCTCTTAAAGTTTTGTACTAAATGAATAAATAAGTTAATAATAGAGCAGCTGCTGATCATAAACTCTGGGAATTTCCTATACTCACATTTCAGCCAGAGGATAAATTTCTCACTTAGGGAGCACACACTGCCTTTGTCTACTCTTCAGTCTCCAGGCTCTCTCTCAATTCTAGGGCTTCTTATCAACAAAAGACAACCAAAACTTTCCCTAACCCTGCCTGTGATGCCAACAGAAACTTGTCTGATTTGTCTGTGAAACACACAGACGAGGGTATGAGAGCACCCTTTGTGATGATCTCCTGAGCTTTCTACCAAATCCCCAGGGAGGATCTTTGTTTGGAGTTGTAAATTGACCCTAAACTTGCCCAAATTCAGGCAGGAACATTCCTTTAATTCCCTTGGCAGTCGTATGATGCTTTGTCAGCTAATATTGCCTTATATGGCCTCTTTGGAGACTGCGACTCCCAGGTACCTCCAGTCTTTAAAACCTTGACTTAATGGCAAAGTAATGACAGTACAGGTCTCTGGATCAGCACATCCTGAAGCAAATGTGGTTTTTTGGGTTATTGGACAGTCGCTTTGATATCAATCTTCCTGTGACTCTGTTGTAACTATATGTCTAGCCTTCACTGTATGGAGGAGAGCTTGGAAATGTGAACCACTTGCATCCAAAACCCTAGAAACTTGAAAAACTAAGTCTATAAAGTATGTATGTAAGGAAATAAAATATAGTCACCTTTTACATTTCATGTTTTGTGTTTCATTTGGAGTGGTATCCTACTTGGATGATTATTCATTTTGTAAGAAAACAAAGAGAAGCAAGTAGTGCAAAACAGTGACGAGATTTTTCTCCTCTCTCCTTTTTGTCCCTATTTTAGGAAGGCATGAGGTGCGGTCCTGGACAACAGCTGCCAAGCAATCCTTGTGTCTCATGTGGCAAAAAGTGAAAGTGCAGCTAATGCTAAGCATGTCTTTCCTTGTGGCTGTTTGTTGGTATTGCAGGAGGCTATACAGCTTTTTAGCACAGCTGCTGAAACGGTAGGTTTTTATTATGCAGACTTTAATCTTCCAGGCTGATGCTTGTTTCAGTAAATATTGACCTTTCACCACTCCTCTTTGACACCTGTTTTATCATTTGGATTTCAGGTGGAGCAACTACCTTCAGAGAAAACTCATAAGTAATCTTTTTGTTGTCATTCTGTTTTCCTTAATCCCCTCCACCACCACTACCCTTTAAATACAGAACAGCAAAAGGTAACTAATCTATGAATTAATCTCGATTTAGGGAATCTCAGTGTGCTGACAGAAGTTGATCTGCTTGGTTATGGTGTGAGAGAATGGAAAGGAGACACAAAGCAGGCCAAACACATGAGGGAGGTAAGAATTAAATTTTAATTTCTGCATGAGGAGAAGTTTGTGGGAAAGGAATAGCACTCCCAGCACAGGCACCTCCTACAGCTACTAGAGCCCGCTACACTGGCTGGCTAAAGGAAAAGCAAAAGGGACAACATGAATGTAAGTCTAGATGAAGACTGCAATAGAGAAGGTCAAAACATAGATCAGATTTTAGCCATGCATCTTCTGCAAATTTCCCCCCTGTAGCACTGATGATCCACGTGGTGGCTTTCACAGGAAAAATCACACCCAGTGCTACAGCCCAAATAACTTGTTGGTAGGCACTGCCTCTCAGCCAGCCTTTGGTTTAAGGTAAAAGCTCTCATTCCAGGGAGGAATGAAACACCACACCTATTGCTCTTCCAAGCTCCGTGTGACAGCAGCCAGTGCTTGGCACCCTCCCCAGCCGCCACCGAGGTCCCTGTCTGGCTGCATCAGCCACAGCTGGGGGCAGAAGCTCACATCTGGCCTGTGGCAGATGTGAGGAGGACCATTGTACGGATGGTGGCCATCCCCTGCCTCCACACAGCCCCCGTCTGCTCCAGCTCTGCATCCCGGGATGCGTGGTGCTGCCATGGTGCTCCCTGGCTGAGGCACTTCTGTGCCAGCATCTTCCCCTGCACCGGCATCTTCCCCTGCCCGAGGCAAGTCTAACTACACCCAGCAGCTCCTGCTGCCTTGTGCCACACATAGCTAGGACTAACAAGGTACTAATGTCACAGTTAATGTCCTTGTCATCTTCTATACCCTGATCAGCTGCTGTGGCGTGGCTGGAGTCAGCCCTGGGTTGCATAGGGAGATGGCAGCCTCTGCTGCTTGTGGGCATCAGCTAATCCTTGGTGCTGATCTTTTCCCATTCACTTTATTTTTTTCTTATATGGTTTTTATTCCTTTCCATGTAAGGGTTTTTTTTGGGTGGTTCTTTTATTTTATGTAATTTCTTTCCCTATTGTATCTTTGAGCTGCTAGCTGTGACTGCCTTAATTATTATACTTCTCCTTGGATTTTTATTTTATTTCTCTTACCTTTTAAAAATGAAATAGTTTCTTGCAGTTCAGCAAGTTTTCTTCCTAACTGTGAGTCAAGGTGAGAGTTGTGCTGCACTGAACCAGGCTTTAGGTCATGGATAGCTGAACTCCTGAGCCAAGGACCCACTAAATTCATGGTTCACCAATGCCAGCTACACTGTTTTCTGGCACCTCACCAACATGTTTTTCATTTGTGTACATTGTGTGTACGTGCTTACACCCTGTAAGCAGAAAAGGCTTCCTGCAAAAGCTGTGTATTAATGCACAAGCAATGGGCTGTTGGCAGCTGTAGCTTGGTGGCCATTAATGGAGGCAGCGTGTCAGAGGGCATGGCAGGAGCAGCAGTGCCCTCCCAAGGGCCCTGACCAACTCCTCAGAGCTGGAGCAGCACTACATTATCCTAACTTATGAAGGGCATGGGCCTCAAGGAGCAACATCTGTTTAAAACTCTGTTTCTACTGTGTTAAGCCTTAGTCACCAAGGTAGGCTCAAAGACCACAGGCTGGATTTTCACTTTTCCCATAAAACCTATAGCTAAAGTAGCTGTACCAGTGGTAGAGCAGTAGTATCTGTTATAAACAAACTTAGAGCCCAGTCTAGTGAATCAGCTAATTGTGACATTATACCCTTGTATCCTCCTGGGGTGGCATTTCAGACTAGCACAGGACAAATGTAACTCCGGGTCTATATTTCTGATTTTCTTATGATGGTGGGGGACACTGACCATGAGATGCTGAGAGAGATCAAAAAGGCAGAGAGGGCAGGAGATGCAGTACTAATGAGACACAAACTAGCCATCTGCACCGGCGGCAGCAGTGGGGTGGAACTTTAAGGTGCTGCCAATAACCATCTGATGGATCAGCTTTTCAGGGAGCCTCTGGGAAAGGAAGTTACCCTTGCCTTGGTCCTGACTAGTGCATGGAATCTGCCTCAAATATGGCTTTTTAATTTCTATTGCTGTTCTCTGGAACAGGAGACAGCACGTACCAATATGCAATGTCCATGCAAGAACAACAAAGCAAAAAAATTATTACAATTGCATCTACCTACAGAAAGGTCAACTCCATAAAAATGAAGAATTATGTTAAAAAGAACCTAAAAGACAGCTAAGAGACTTGAGTGCTTACAGTCAGTATATTTGACATATATGTTGCTTTAGTTCATGGCCTTGGAACCACAGAGCAAATGCCTACCCAGAAGGACCTAGGTAAAGGTAAAACGAAGCTAATAAGGCCAAACAGCAGCATAAGGGACTTAGGAGAAAAAAGAAGGTATTGTTCAAAAAGCTGGAGTCATGTCCAAATGATGAACAGAGAAAGGATCCAACTTTGCTGGATTAAATTAGGGAACACAGCAATGCCAAAAGTGCCCAGAACACCCCACAACAAGGCCAGAAGTGATTTGAAGGAACAAGTAACAAAAGACAGCAAAACTTTTGATAAATTTTCAAACACATATTGGGCGAGAAACCTTTCAGAAAGAAAGATGCTTGATGATCAGAGCTGAAAAAGAGACTCAGGAGAGTCTAGTGGATGGCTGGTTATATCAGGTACCATAGCAAAGAACACATTTTAGAATGAGGTCTCATGAGATTCTTAACCAACCTAATGTGCTTGCTGTCCCCCAAAAGGAGTAGTTCCTCGCTTGTCTTGTCTCTCCCTTTTCCTCACCTCATTTTAGCTAAACAGTCCCTCTGCCTTTTTTTCGTGCTCTTATATCTTCATCTTCTGTTGGATGTGGTTCATGAAGCTGGTGAGCTGATGGAGCCATCTGAGCTTGCTGAAGCAGCAAGAAGCTCCCCCAGCAGGAAGGATGCAGTAGGCTTATGATTATCACATCCAATGCAAAGTAAGAGCAGGGGAGACTGTGCAGACACCTGGTGTTGGGATGGGGTGAGGAAGCAACTGAGGTGAAAGAGGACCAGGAATTGAGACCGTCTTCCTGCCCCCTTCAGGAAGCAAACTGAGACTGATAGAGCAGCCTGGGTAACTGCAGAGTCCCCTTTCTAAGGTAATTCTCTGCCTGTTTATTGATCTGAATTGTCTCGCCAAGGGTCCCGATGGGAGCCAGAGGTAACACAGATGAAATACAGGGAGTGTGTAGCTGGAAGAAGGGCCATCCACTTCAGCATAGGGCTGCCAGATCTGCGCAGCCTCAGGTCATCATTGCACGATGGATTCAGGTCAGTGTATGGAGATGTTTCTGCCAAAAGCAGTTTTCTCCAGATGCCTGTTCCTGCCCTTTTGCTGCTCCATCCCATGTGTCAGCACAAGTTGTGAAGTGGCCAGGGTTGAAGCTGTTACTGTAAAGAAGTCTTCACTGATCTGTTCTGCTTTGGTTGGCCATCTGAATGTTTACACTAGCAACAGTGGAGAGACTGAAGCGAGGTGCTGGCTTTGGAGAGAGTGCAGAATCACTCTTAAGGGGCAGTGGCAGTGTAAGGTGTTTACATAAACTATGAAGTTAGAACATTTTTGTGTATATAAAACTTATAAATACACTTGCTCTTTCCCCTAGCCCCCCTCCTCTTATGAGTAGCTTGGAATTGGACTCCAGTTCAACATGGGTTTGGTCCAAGATTTAAAATGTTTATTGCTAATTTTTTTTGGGTCTTTTTCTAGGCATATGAAGCATTGTTTTGGAGCTGTCATATCAAATATCTGCGACAAGTCAGGAAGGACAACTATAGTGTACTAAGAGCAGTGCTTTTTCAGATATTCAGCCAAGGCATTCCTTTTCCATCATGGATGAAGGAGAGGGATATATTAAAGGTAAAATTCAATTCCTAAATGAACATGATTCAAGTGACCTTGCATCACAGAAGGAAGCTTTTCAATATGTGAAAACTTATGTGTCTGACAGGGAAGTAGAAGAGAATCATTATCAGAAGTTAAAGAGAAGTTTTTCAAACTCTTTGAACTATAAATAATTGAAAAAATGTCCCTGATCTAAATATAACAAAGTAAACATGACTCTAAATAGTTAAAAAAAAAAAAAAAAAAAAAAAAATCAAACTCCCATTTCCTTATTTAGGCTTCAAGTGACACTTCCACTTATTTAAACCGGCATTCACAAAAATCCAATTCTCTCTCTACCTGGCAAAAAAAAAAAAAAAAAAAAGTAGTAGATGAGAAGTGTTACTGCCACCCTGCTAGATGTCACTCCCTTAAAACAAAAGGATGTTTTAATCCTCCTCATCCACATCTGTGCAAAGTCTAGTGGTCTAGCTCATTTGGGAGCTGCTGAGCCTGTTACTGGAGCAGCAGGAGTCCAGCCCTGGGCTCCAGGAGCTCCAGCAGGAGACAGTGGTGAAGTGGTGGGGATCTGTAGCTGCTGCCTGCAGGAAAGCATGTGCAAACTGGAAGGTGTCTGTAATCCTAAAAACCTCACTGAGTTTGGATGTATTCAGCTTCTGCAGAGTGTGGGTTATATACTTTGCTGAGAGCATATTTTCTTCTCTTTTTGGCTGACCCTGTTTTAAAAGAGTCTTAAGGACTTGGCAGTCAAATGGAGCTTCATTCTTAACATTTGAGCGGTTCTGAAGCACATTTATATTTTTTGTTTGAACTGTACAAATGGAGGATAGAACCACATCATAAATTAAAATGTGTGTAGACAAATTTATATAACTTTATATTCTACTTCTTATTATGGTTATGATCTCTACTTAATTAGGTTTTGGTTTTTCTTCCCCAGCTCCCTGAAAAGCTTTTGTATTCTCAAGGTTGCAACTGGATTCAGCAATACAGTTTTGGGCCAGAAAGATACACAGGTCCCAATGTCTTTGGTAAATTGCGCAAATGTATGGAGACATTAAAGACCAATGTAAGTATTTAGGAGATGGCTGAGGGGAATAAAAGCACTGAGAAGTGAGTTGAAATAGAGTTAGGGAACTGCTCCTTGTTACTTATCTCTGTGGCAGGCAGGCCCACTCCCAGGTTCAGGGATCTGAGCTGCTGCACAAGGCCATCGCCTCTCCTGCAGGGGAACCCTGTTTGTGGGATTCTGCTAGGTTATGTCCTTGGGGTCCCCCTGAAAAATTAGGGAGGCCATCCTCTCCAAAGCTGTTAGTTGCTGCATGGTTTAGTAGCCTCAAAGCCTTCTGAAACAGAGCTAAAAAATCAACCTGACAAGATCTTGCACCTTCCTTGAGCTCCTCGGGGGTTTCTGTGTGTCTGCAGTTGCGTGCGCTTTTGGGCTGTTCCTGTCTTCTTTGGCACAAGCTGTCCCCAGCGCACCACCACCCTCTTCTCCCCACCGTCCTCCTGCTGGGCATTTGCTTTGTATCCCCTCCTGGGTCACAGGCATCAAGTGGATGCTGGCATTTGCTGAACTCCAGGGTTTTGGCCAAGACTAGGTTGAAACCCTTCTCTGAAGGCATCCATTATCCAGTATGTCAGATCTTAAACTGTCATGTTTAGTTCTACAGTACACCTTACGGTTCTGGGATGTCTTACCATGGCCACAACAGTTTATTTTACTGGTGTGCATTTAAGCTGGTTCCTTTTATGTGGCCCTGTGTATGCAAGCCACAACTCTGTAGTTTTAAACCCTATTCTCACTGATACTGATTGTTAAAGAAAACCAAAAAACCACAGACAGACTTATTTAGCTCTAGAAACGAAGCAAATAAAATATTTTATTTATAAATAAATAATGATAAATAAATAATATCGTAATGAAAAGAGGGAATTAAAATAGAGATCTGGTCCTTGTCTCTTGCCTGCAACCTTGCTGTGCCAGAGTGACAACTACCTACTGTCTTGAGATGTGCCTAGTGCTTCTTGAATCCAAATACCGTTTTATTCTGGTTGCTCTTTGCATTTGCTGGTGCTGGGTTGTTCAGCTTTTATTTTTAACTTGTTGTAGCTCTTTTCAGTTGCTGTTAGTCCCTTGGCATGAAGCATTTAAGCTGGATGTTTGTACAGAAAAAAGTTTCACGTCAACACCATGAACAAATCCATACCATTAACAAGTTGCTGCAGAGCAGCTGTGTGATGCATTGTGCTGTTACTGGGTATGAGCTCTAGCTCCCAACTTAATTTTTTTATAAAGATGCCAGTGAGGTGGCTTTTTGCCTGTTTTCACTAACAGGATTCTCTGCTGTCTTTCTTGGCTCCATTGTCATCTTGTAGGCTGTTGCCTGCAGATGCTGTTGTGCCTGGGTTGTGTTGGTTAATAGGTGCTTTACTTTTAGGACAGGCTTTTCACTTAGGTAGTAGAGATCCTCTAGCAAAGGGACAGTAGTGGTTCATACAGGAAGGTCTCATTTATAACCTGTAAGAAAGGTCTTGAGGAATTCATAAGGAGATGGGGGGATCTGTTTCTCAATTAGGTATTCACGGGTAAGTTAGATTTATTTTATTTTTTTAGCTGCAATTCACAATTTATGGCCACTTCAACATATAAATAATGCAAGCACAGAATTAACTGAAATTCATTTGAATACCACTCATTGAGCATCATCTTCTATGGTGGTCCCAAAAGACCTCACAGTTCCTGATGACACTTTTTAGCCACTGTGTTCAGGACTGGGTGCTTTAAGCTTTCTAATTTGGTACCCAGTCCAGCACTGTCTCCTGGATGCCCCATGTTCTGGGTGTGAGCACTAGCTTTTGACCCCTCTAGAGCAACAGAGAGCTCAGAAGCTCTCATTATCAACTGTGAGCAGAATGAGAAATTCCTGCCCCATTCATGTCCCATGCATGGTTTTGTCTTGTCCCTTCTTGTGCAGCCAACTTACCTTGATCTCATGAAGCAGAACACATTAAAGACATAGAGATGTTTACAGCTTTTAATACCATTCCAGTTTGTATAGGTTCCTTTTAATTGGCACACTTTGGAATTGGGCTCAACATCTAAAGAATTCAAGCTAGAACAACTTTAATGTAAAGGGTACTATAGAGGAAAATCACTGAATTTTGGAAGCTCTAAGTGAAAACCACTTAAGTGTCATCACTTAATCTAACATTTTCTGACAACTTAGTGTCGATGTCTGATGCACCCACACAGATTTCCTGTAACTTTCTGAGATCCTTTTGGTGGTTACGCTCCTTTCAGACTCGTTACAGACAATGATACCTACAGTGGTGGTGGATGGTTTTCGTATGCTTTCTCATAGTCTGTCATTAGCATCCAGATGCTTGGAGCTGTCTGTAGCAAATAAATTCAGCTGGATAAATGGAAACTAAGATGTCTAAGGCTTCAAATTTCACTGCAGATCCAAAAGAGCCACTTGCTTATTTGCACCACTATTTGGCTACAATAACGTTATAGTACAGACTGGCAATTGTTCCAGGTATGGAATCTTTTGTATTAAATAGAATTCTTGATAATTTGATTGGTATTATTCTGTGTGCTTTCCAGTGGATTGAAATAAGTGCTACTAAAGATCATGAAGAAAGAGGAAACCTGTGTAATACACTCTTTTCTGATGAGAGCAAGGAACATAAACTATATGAGGCCATAAAATTCATCATGCTCTACGAAGTTGTTGAAGCCTACGAACAGATAAAGAACAGGGAAGAACCCACACACAACCTTTTTAGCCTTCTCCTTGCTCGTGATTCTTCGTCTGACCCTTTGAGTTTCATGATGAATCATCTGAACGGCGTAGGTGACTCTATTTGCCTAGACCAGGTAATGATATAGATGAAAAATAAATCATGAAACTTATTCCATCTCTGACGTGATTTGGTGAATATATCATGCATCCTCTGTGATAGCTGGCCCATTTTTTGTTCTTTGGAATGTGGGGAAGTGAAGTGAGGATAGTCATTTAACTTCCAGGAAGAAATCTATAGTAGCATAAAATGGGGTGGTTGGTTTTCTTGCTGAGCCAGAAATAAATGGTGCAAGCTATCAATGAGACATAGTTTAGGACAATGATACCTTTGATATGTGAAATAGCTTTATATTATGCAGATTTGACCTGTTGTTTTGCTTTTCCTATCTGTTCCACCATGCCAAACCCTCTATCATCGCTCTACTCTTTCCCCTCTCTGGTTCCCATTAGATCTAATGTCTGTTAAGAGTAGGTAATGAGAACACTATTGACTGTAAACCTTTATATGTTAAGATTTATTTTTTTTTCAGTTCTACATTTAGTGAGTAGTTAAATATTGACATCTAAACTCCACACTGCCACTCTGCAAATGGTTTCACTTTCCAATGGATGAAATTATTTTTTATAATCAATATCAGTTATCAAGTCAACTGTTACGTTGCAGTCACCTTCAGGAGCAGTTTGACTATGACTGGACAAGTTCTGCTCTGTCTGACTGTGACCAAGAATATGAGCTTTTTCCAAAGCATTTTTCGAGATTAAGCAATTCTTTTCAAGAAGTGAAGACTCCAGTACTCAAGTTTCCTATACATGAAATACAAGGAATTTTTTTTCCTTTTACAATTATGTTTCCCTCGTGTAGCAAGTGATCACAAGGTGGCAGACTTCCCATTTTTCAAGGTGAATCAATCTTTTAATAATAGCTAGTCCCTTCTTGCTCCCCACTAAGCTGAGTGAGCTGGCTTTGGAAGCCAGTTAGGCATTGTGTCAAGTGGAAGAAGGATGTTTCCAAAGTGTCAGACATAAACCAGAATATTCTACATGCAAAAGAGCAGTGGAAGGACTGTTGGAACATTGAAAATGCCCTGAAACGTTTAATTTTCTTACTTCACTTACAGAAGGACCCTTCTATTCCGTGTCTACTGTTTTAGGTGACTTGCCTTAACTTGGATTATTTTCAGTTTAGTTTTTTAAGTCTAAATAAATGTCTTACAGACTTCTTTCATCTTTAGGTTGAACTGTTTCTTCTTGGATACTTGCTTGAAGTAAAGATAAGAGTTTACAGACTGCATAGGTTTAATACTGAGGAATTTCAAGTAAACTATCCAGAAGAATACCGAAGGGAATGGAATGAGATTTCTCTCCTGACCGAGGATGACCGCTACTATCACATCCCCCTTTTCAGAACGTGAAGGACCAGTGACTTTTATTCCTTTGTATAATATAGTGAGTGAACAGTTCCAGTGAATTAAGTTTCTAATTGGCAGCAGTATGATTTTGAGAATGCTCTTTAATGATTACAAAATGATTTATGGTTTATTGTGTAAACATTTTGCTTTCCCATGCAGCTTAATTCACCATCAGTCAGCCATAAAAAACATAACATATATTGCTATACTGTGTGGGGAAAAAAATAGCGTATTTGAGAGTTGTCAGATGAAAAAGATTGGACTGCATTGATAGAGAAGGTAAAGGTAAAGCTGGGTTTTCCATTGCTAGCCTAAGGGTTTACTCTGACATCTCTGGAGGGTTAAACTCAAGTTCCTAAAGTAATTCCTGCCTTTCCCTTGCCTGTCTCTAGCTGGGGAGGATGAGTCATGGAGGAAGCAACTCCAGGGGTCCCGCAGTTTATATTCCAGACTATTAAACTTGCACTGACCCGGGGCAACCTAGGATGGGAGGGTGTAAACCGGGGACTCTGCACAGCTGCTTCAAATCCCTGGAAGTTGCTGGAATGTCTCCCTCCAGGGATGGGCAGAGGGAGCAGCTTCAGGCTGTACTTGCTTCAGACACCTGAAATGAAGCTGTCTGCACTCAGCCCTGATACCCTAAGGTGAAGACATGTTACACAGGAGGAAGAAAATCCATCCCACGCACAAGAATACTGTGCCAGATGAACAGAAGATCTGGGTTATAACTGGGGAAAGTAGACACGCTTTCTCAAAGCTGAAAAGGGCAGTATTAATTAATAAGGAACATGCAATGGAGTTAGACCCAGTAGCTGCCTATGGGTTTTGTCAACTTGTAAATCCTTTAACGGCTGATTTCAACATAACGTGCCAAGATTTTCTTTGCAATTCATCTGAGAAAGCTGTGCACAGAATACATTCACAAACACTGCATTTTCAGAAAATACTAATTTTCTATGTGTTATTTGAATTCAGCAGTGTATATACATATTTTATCTTCTGAGTGTATGTTAATCTCCTTGCATAAGTTTGCTATTTAGTTTAGACCTCAATGTTTGAAGAAGTCTATCCAGGACAACTAAATGAGATTTACCTTATTACATGCAGCATTTTTCCCAGTTTTATTTTCTAGAAGAATCAATTGTGTTTTCATTATTTCAAAAATAAGGGACCTTCATTTGAAGAAATATTAAAATGATGTAGCAGATCTAGCAAAATATTTCTGAAAAGCTTACAATCCCATAGGCATATGGTTGTATTGAAGAAAGTGGGATTTATTAAGAAAAAAAAACTTCTCCTTTCCTTATCCTAGAGATATGGGGACAGCCAGGCTTGTTTTTTAATTCCTGCAGAAGAAAATACAAGCAAGTAACAAAAATGTGAACAGGGCCTGCAGGAGCTACAGCAGTAGCATGAGGCAACTAAGTGGTAATGCTTGGAGTGCACAGAGAGCGCTTGGTTCCTTTGTGTAAAGGAAAACAATTTTATCCCTCGCAGTCCTTTTTTTTTTTTGTATGTGAATATAAATATTTATAAACACAAACACCTGAGTTCTTGTAACAGTTTTGTTTCCTGAAAGTTTTTCTGAGTTCAGTTTTGTTCAATAACTTGTGGCTTTTTAATTAAGGCGGCTTGATACCTTTAATAATTTCATCTCATCAAAACCTGCATATCAAGTACTTTATTTATTAAAAGAAACTTTTCTTCACTGAATGAAATCATTTGCCTGCTTTAGATGTGGTTCTGCTCTGCATGGGTAAATGTTATAATGCCTGAGGGCAGGGTATTGGTATCTCTTTTGCATCAACAGTAACATTTACAGCTATCAATACTTGTCTATATTTTATTCTTGTTTTGGTACAAGCAGACATACCAAAAAAGGATGCGTTTTTATAGTGGTCTTTTTAATGCTTTGCATATTATTTATGAATAGGAATACAAAAGCATTACAGCTGAAAGTGTTAAATTGTCAAAGTGTATGTTTTTGTAATCTTGAGCATATTAGTAGCAGGGAGTTAATAAAGATCTAACACAGAGAGTGGACTTTATCTCACCAATTTGGATGTTTGCATCTGACCTTGGTCACCTTGGGCTCTCTGGCTTGTCAGTAGAAGGCAATGGCAAGTGGTCAGTCAGAGGAGTGGGTCTCTACAGGCATCTGGTTGTCCTCACTGACTGGTGGGAGCTGGCAGTGATCAGCATAAATCTCTCTGCTGGAGATGTTTGAAGTAAGGTGAGATTGATTTTGTGCCAAGAATCCAGAAAGGACATGTTGAAATGGATCTGCTGGTTTATCAGATTTCAGAGGTGCTAGCTGGATCACGACAGGAACAGAAATGGAATGTGAAGAAAGAGGAAATTCAGGTGAGGATAATCACAAGTCTTAGAGATAAACGCAGAGAGTGCTCTGCGTAGGATCTTAAGAAACACTGAGATGTGTTTGGGGCTGCACAGGGTTTTAATCAGGTTCTCTGATAATAGATTTTATGTATTTATAAAGCAAAAATATATGGTTTTTTATATATGAATAAATGTATATCTATACATCCATATAAAAGAAAAGTACATTAAAAAACATCATCCAGAATAAAGTGCATCTGGAACTAGCTGGTACTATGGAAGTGGCAGGTGTTGCACCATCTTTTCCAGTTGGTGGCACAGACAACCTTGCTGTACAAATCCAGACGGACACAGTCATTACCAATTTTTTAAAAAATGCAGTGTTGTAGGCAGCTAAAGTTTCAAGTCAAGATGTCTTTATTGTTGCTAGTTTAGCAAGAAAAGAAAAATACTGAAGCCTCAACAGTAGGTTTGGATTTTTCCCCAAACTTGAAAATGTGTGTTAAGAATGTAACAGAGCAGCTGAAGAAATTTATATCTTTTCTTATAAAGGAGAAAGATGTTGAACTTGAATATCATCTTTTTAAAAAATTGCGTCTCAAAAAATGTATGAACCATGGTTGCACTTCATTTTTAACTCCTAAGAAAAATACTGGCAATCTCTATTCTTCAACTCTAATACTGAAATTGCTTCTTGCATAGATAGTGGCTACTAAGTTGAAGCAAATTAAAAATCGCCCAGTGCAGTTGTTGCTGGTTTGTCTACCTGCTTAGTCTCAGGGTATTGAGTTTAATGTCTAGGAAGTAGTTCTCAAATGCAGTTTGTAATTTGCCTAAAGATTTAAGGAATGCGTATGATCAAATTAGTCTAGTTATCCAGAAAAATAAAGACTCGTCCATTCTCTTCAAAGCGCAGAAAAAACCTACATAGGTTTTTTTTGCTGGAAGTTGGATTTCCCTGTCCCTCTATACTTCAGCAATATTGCAGCAGTCCCACCCGTCACCCTGGTCTGTTAGTGCTGTTACAGCACTAATGTTTTTTGGAGTCTTCATTTTTCTGAAAAGCTCCAGATTCTGATGAAAAGGTAAAGTCAGGATTTTGATGCCCCTGATTTGCATCTCTCTTTATGAACCATGAACCTTTGTGTCAGCCAGGGCCAGTGGGTGAGGAGGATGTGTGGGGCATTGCTGGGACCTGTGGCGTGGGGTTATGCATGCTGGTCAGTGCTGGTGGGAGGGAAAAATAGAAAACAGGAAAGAAATAGGGTGGGTGCTGGATGCTTTCATCTTCCAGTATATCCCAATTTTTGCATAATTCAAAGGTTAATACCTTGGGAGGGCATTTAACCAAAACATCTTCCTCTTTAGTAAAGTTGTTGGCCATAGATCAACTCTTTATTGAAATGTGGAGACAACTGATTTGAATGCAAGTGTGGAGTCTGTGTGCAGGAACTGCTGAAGTCTGTAGCACATACAGCAGCTACTGACTCTCTGTTCAGCTGAATATCTTCCCCATAATTTTCAGGATTGTGATACACTGCATCTTACAAATGTTCAAAATGATTGGCCTTTGAGTTTCAGATGACAAATTTAGCATTTAGCTATGAATGATCTTATGTTCTTTTTACCTATCCAGTAGATGGCTTCCAGGCATCAGAAAACGTAGTTCAATAAGCTCAGTTCTCCTGGCAATTTTTTGATTGTCACACTTGCCTGGGTGATGGGATGGGTTGGCCCCGGCCAACAGCCAAGCACCCCCACAGCTGCTCACTCATTCCACCCCACTCCAGTGGGATGGGGGAGAAATCGGGAAGAACAGGAGCAAGAAAGCTTTTAGGCATAAAGATAAGGAGAGGGAAATCACTTACAATGCACTGTCATGGGCAAAACAGCTTCAACTTGGGGAATTTAACTTAATTTGTTGCCAATTAGCATAAATATTTAATTACTGATTTGGGTATTGGGAAACAAAAAAAGGCAAATGTTAAAACACTTATGGGAAAAAGCACTCCTCCTCCTTTCCCAGTCTCAGCTTCACTCCAGACTCCTCCTCTCCCTCTTGTCACCACCACAAGTCATACACGGTCCCTTCAGTGAAGCAAGGAGCAGTGTGGGGAGGCTGCAGTCGGAATGTAGTGATTCCTCTCTGCCCTTCCTTGTTTCTCACTCCTTTCCTATGTTTCAGTCTCCCCCTTCAAGGCTGTACCTGCTCCAATATTGGCTTGGGATAAGTAAGTGCTAAAACTCTTGGTAAGTTACATGTTAATTACCAACTTTACAGAAGTCTTATTCAGCTTAATATAGCTTCTATCCATGCTATTGCAGAGAAAAAACAAAAAGGAAAAAGTAAGGCCATGTTTTTGTTGTCTTCCTTCTTTGCATCTTTAATGTCCTGTCGTGTGCACCTATATTTTTACAGGACATGAATCAGAATAGAGCAAAAGGGTCTGGAGGAAGGGGCTCAGAAGGTAAGGGTTTAAAATCAATCCTGCATGTGAAAAATGGTATGAGCAATGTTTGTCTTGCTTTTCTTAATAACATCTTTAGGACGATGGTAGCACAGAGGAGCAATAGTGATTTCTTGAGTTCTTGCAGACTGTAGCAGGAGATCATGAGTGTTAGAAGAGAGATGGAGTGATTCTGAACATAATTCAGGAGATACAAGGGATGAGCTAATGGTGAAGGAAAGCCAGGTTGGTGGCAGTGTGAGGAAGAGGAAGAGACATCACTAGGAAAAGCGAGCAATTTCACAGAGGAAAACTTAGCAAGTCCATGGACACTTCCTAGCTGTGTGTGAACTGCCAATATATGACTGGAGATGGGAAAATTTTTCAGCGTAATATCCACAGAAGGTGTACTTGAAGCTCTTCTTGTCCTGCTGCCTAAAGCATGACACATGAATAGATCGTGCCTACCGTAATTTCAGCTTCTCTCAGCCACCCTTTTGAAGTAGAGGACTTCACTGCTGTCAGTGTTCTCCAGAAGTGCAGAGGTGTTTCCTGCCTTTCCTGTATTGATGACTTCACTTAAGGCTTCCTCTTGTTTGTGGGTTGTGTCCCCACATTTGGCTGGCATTTGCAGTGCTTCTGTCGCTGCAGCAGCAGAGATGGTACAGCCAAGAAACACTTCAGCCACCTTCTGTTAAAATTTTGAATGAGACATGAGTGAAACCACATGCTCCTGTTTAACAGGCTGTGAAAAGCCCAGGAGGGCTAATTACGGAGAGTATGGCTGATCAAATTGGACCACTTATCTGTCTTCAGGGTCATCAAAGGTACATTCAGGGAAATGCTGCTGAACTCCCTCATTAGCCTTCTCAAGTTAGCTTCCAGCATGGGAGCTTCTGAGTGCTCAGTGATGGGCAACTAGGCCACCAATATATTACCTAAGTAAGGAGGAAAGTGGGAGTCAAACTTTAGAGCCTGAGCACATCCAACAAGGTGAATTTCTTCACATCTTAGAGATGCCATTGCATTTGGTGTGAGCATAACTCCAGAAAGCTGCAGATACAGATATATGAAATTGAGACATAAGAGCTTGCACCAAAGTCGCCTGGTCACAAGCAAAACTCTGCAGTGACCACCATGGGATGCTCTACTTTGTTTAGTAGCACAAGGTGTCCATGGGTGTTGGACAAAAGATGTGAGTGCTTCATGTTGGCTGTTTTTTTAAAAGAACCCATGCAAACTGAACAAGGTTTTGGTTCTGTTCTGGGCAGCTCCAGAAGTGGTTCTAAATAGAAATACTCTTTGAATTACTCAAAGGCAGGGAAAAAAAAAAAAAAAAAAAAAAAAAAGGTGTGACAGTTCAAACAGTAAGAATGTTATTACAAAGGTATTTGAAGAAGGCATCAAATACATTTTTCAGACTATAAGAGTGGCTTTCAGTTAAAGGACTTTACATCAGCGTTAGTCAGGAAAGCTGGTTGTAACATGTGGTCCACCAAGTGTAATTCAGGATACAGAATACTGCCCAGAATAAATCCAATACATTCAGGAGTCAAATCAGAGCTGTTTGAGTTACAGCTGCTGATAGCCCAGTACTCTGGAAATGCAAGAAAAAGAGGCGAAAAAAGTAAGGAACATGATTTTAAAAAAGACAGAAGAGAACACTGCTGTGTGGAAAGCCACCAGCCTATTTATTGGTGGATATTTTATTGCCCTTTTCAAAGAAAGACATAATTGAATATTTAAATCAATATAATTCCAGTATAATTAAGTGCATAAAATAGTGATTTTGATGAAGAGTATTCTCAGTTCCTTTCTCTCCCATCTATGTAATATCAAGTAGATCAAGGGACCTCACATAGTAGATAAAATTTGCTTTTTTCCCCCTTTGCTTAAAGAAGGCTAGCTGATACTCTATGGGAGAAGGTATCATTAAAATCTCTTCCTATCATAATCCTGAAATTCCTACTAACTCCACACACATGGCAGCTCTGCTCTGGAAATTTTCTGGGAAGAGGGAGGGATGCTGTCGGTTAATAGGGGATGTAAAGGAAAAGTAAAGCCTCTGCTATTTCATCTCTCTTTGGAAACCCAGTGACTAGAAGAAGAAAGCAGCACAGCAAGGCTGGGGAGTGTAGGATGAAAGTAGGCTTGGGTCAGGCAAAACAAGGCATAAGGTAAGCAGCACAAATACCATCATATAGTGGTAATGTGGCTGCCTAAAATTGTTCAGTAAATATGAAAATACTTGACATTTGTCC